TATATTAGATATATTTATGTAAAAAAATCACAGATTATTTATGTCCCCGCACCAGCAGCTGGACTGTTTCTCTCATCTTTTCCTCAACTGCCAGAACTCCTACTTCAATTTTGTGCCTGGCAGTTTCATACCCAGCTCTGCTGATTATGGGCCAGGCAACGGCAGGGGCTCCACCTCCCGGCACTATCTCCCAACCAGCCCACTGCTATGCTACCAATGCAAAGGCATCGCTGAATTGCAATAACAGATCTTTTCAGTGAGTGGTTTTACAAGTTATTTCAATACTGGCAATTACTGTACACTTTCCTACACCACTACTCACCAAAGCACATCAGGTTTAACTGCTTCAAGGTGAAACACCTCAATCGTTCTCCAAGTGAGTGAAAAGATCCCTCGTTTGTTAGCATGGGATACCTCTCACATCACCAGAGCTCGTACAGCTACAGCTCTACTCCCCTCTACTTCCAGGCACTGGGCAAGACTACCACCTGACTACCAAAGTAAAAATGGTGAGATGAATAGCAACAACAGGGCAGGAGAAAGAGAAACAGAGCCCAGAGAGACACCTAGTCTATGTCTTCTGCTACCCTCTGCCTGTGGCAAAGCAACCCTGTGCTTCCCACTCTTCAGGCAAGATGCAAGGCTACAAGGTAAGCACTGGGAAATGGACGCTTTCTGTTGAATCCCAAGTGAACATGCAAAGATGATCTAAAACTCGTCTGCCTGCAGAAGATTCTCCATCACTTACAGACATCTCATACATAGCCCTGGCCTGTACAACAACCCCTCTTCAGTACAGGATCAAATATGTGTTGTATGCCCTTTCACAGCAAACCACCTCATGGCTCTCTGGGAGACTGCATTTCTTGAGAACTACTAATGTACACCAACTAGACAGACAGAGTGGATGATTTTATGGGATGATATCACACAGTGAAATTCAACGTTCTCACTTAAGCAGTAAAGTTCATGCTGGTCACAGAAAGATTTATTTGGAAAACTTTCTTTCACTGCAAACATGCAGTGGAAATATTTTCCATCCGTCTGACCTTGAAGAGCGCGTTCAACAACTAATATAAAATAACAAGCTATTATTAAAAAAAAAAGTGAATTCTATGTCTGACATATCGTTTGTTTAAAGTACCTTGAGAACCATGACGGAAAAGCTTTCTACAAGATGCTTATCAGAGCTAAAGTTAGACAGAACTTGCTATCTGCCCAACTCCAGACTTACATTTTACTCAGTGAGCATAAAACACTTTTCACACAGTGAGCATGAAACACTGTGCAATAAGTCTATGTTTATAAATTCAGCAGTTATATAACATCTGCGCACAGGGCACTGTGCAGCCAGTACAAAGAGCAAATAAATAAAGAGGAATTGGGAATTCCAAAAGCAGCTGACATGGTTTAAAAGCACCATGGGACTTGAACTCATAAATCACTTGGGCCCTTTAAAAAATTTATCTCTTAGGACACAGACTCTCTCACTCAGCATGAAGCAGTTAAGAGCACAATTTTTCCCCTCTCCAGTTTAAGAGCCAGCATTAACTGGATCGCCTAAGATCTCTCCTACTGCAAAACATCAAATAGTTCTGGTACCTTTTTCCTCCCTCAGTAAACTAAAAGACAGCTCTTTTTACTACTGTCAAAATTATACAGAGCGGCTTACAACTATAGCTAAGTATAGGCTAAGACCACACAAAACAGGTACTGTACTTTAAAAGGGTGTAGGTGAACAAAGAAGGACTAAGTATGATCTCACTGAAATATAGTTATCAGCCTGCCAGTTGCTTCTGATGTTATCGTTGTGGAAAGCCAAATCCAGCTGTAACTACACAGCGGTTTAACCATAATCAGCATCTCTTCCATGGCTGCTTTGCTCATCACCTTGCTGTGACACAATAGCTGATGCAGAATACAGCTCTACACATTCACCAGAAAAAAAGAAAAAAAACCAACCTTCCAGTGGGGAATATTTTCTACTGATCCCTCTTACGCTATTTTATAATTACACCGTGCTGGGTTTTGTGATATACAGGTTGCTGTTCGACAGATCAGAGAACATAAAGATTTATCTGCTTTTTGTCTCTTCCAAGCTGTTTCCAGTTGCAGTTTAAAATCCTCTCCTCATCTGAAGCAAATCAGTCCCTCTACATAGGTTAACCTACTACATTTAAAAGAGCTATGAGGGAGCACCTTGTCGTCTGGACAAGAGCAGCTTGGCAGGAATGTCCGTCTGCTGCTATGTTGCTCTGAGTAGCCAAATCTCACTAGATAGATTGCATTAGTTGGAAAAGTGCTTTAAAAAACCCCAAAAGCTTTAATCCCAATTATACCTTGTTACTTTTTAAGTAATTCATAAAATTACAACACAATGCAGTAGGTGGTTAAATGGTGTACGTTTCTTCTCTCCAAAGCCAGGCATAAATTTCTTTGTAGTATTGGTTCTTAGATTGAGAATAACAGAGCTAGAGATGGAGCCACACAGCTCCCACAGCAGAGTAAAATGACGCTAAATATCAAAGAGAAACATTCACTTTACCTGGTCTGGTCAGTTCACTAAAGAGCTGAAGTAGAAAACGAGGATCATAGAAGTCATCAAGACTCTTGACACTTTCATCTCTATATAGTGATTCTTGTACCTCCTGAAAGCAAATCCAAAGCAGTATTTGTAAGGAACAACAACACCACCAATTTCCAGCTTGGTTTCAAACTTCCCCAACCACCTCATCCCAATATAAAGCAGCCAGTACTAAACCTTGCCAAATATAACACAACACAGGGTGAGACTTGGGTTTAAATCTGATTTTCACTATCAGGGTTCCAAAACGACTTCCCCTGACTAGCCCAAACAGGTATAGAAATGTGTCAGCAAATTGTATCAAAGACTGAAGAGCCTATTGTCAGCGGATCCTCGGCCTGTTTAAAAGTCAAATTCTGGTCTCGCTTATGCATGGCAATCTTTGCAATTTTGCACAATCATGCCTGCCGGCAAGACGTGGTCACAGAATCAGAGAATAGTTTGGTTACCCTCTTAGTAAATAATTTTTTCCTAATATCTAATCTAAATCTCCCCTCCCTCACCTTAAAGCCATTCCCCCTTGCCCTGTCACTCCATGCCCTTGTAACCAGTCCCTCACCAGCTTTCCTGTAGGCCCCTTCAGGTACTGGAAGGCAGCTAGAAGGTCTCCCCAGAGCCTTCTCTTCTCCAGGCTGAACAACCCCAACTCTCTCAGCCTGTCCTCATAGCAGAGGTGCTCCAGCCCTCGGATCAGCTTCGTGGCCCTCCTCTGGACTCGCTCCAACAGCTCCATGTCTCTCCTGTACTGGGGCCCCCAGAGCTGGACGCAGTACTCCAGGTGGGGTCTCACAAGAGCCGAGTAGAGGGGCAGGATCACCTCCCTCGACCTGCTGGTCACACCTCTTTTGATGCAGCCCAGGACACGGTTGGCTTTCTGGGCTGCAAGCGCACACTGCTGGCTCATGTTGAGCTTCTCATCAATCAACACCCCCAAGTCCTTCTCCTCAGGGCTGCTCTCAATCCATTCTCCACCCAGCCTGTAGCTGTGCTTGGGATTGCGCTGACCCACGTGCAGGACCTTGCACTTGGCCTTGTTGAACTGTGGAACTATGGTCCATATATTGCATTTCATTTGAAAAGTGCTCCTAAATAATTAATTCCAGCCCTCCTATGAATTTAAATTACTCTCCTGATGTAAACCAAATGCAATGTATAACACGAATGCAAGAAAGCAGTGACTAAAGTGAAAGACTCTTTTTCTACATCAAAAGGAGGATAATTCAGCAGTCTGAACCAAAGCACCTGTGATGACAGAAGACGGCGATGCTGAGGGAAAGACAGAATTGTCCTCATCATCTTTTCTCGGTCTAGCAGACACAGAATCTCCTCCATGCTTGGCTGCTGCCATAGTGACTTCCCTAGACTCTTGCAAGTCTTGTGATGCTCCACAGCGGCTGGACCCCATAGCAGGATTCTTAAACGTTGTTAAAAGTAAAGGCATTAGTCAACAGACTGCTAGCACTGAGCGAAAAGCAATTACAGAGGATATAAATTAGTATTTAAATTTTCCCTTCACTTGTACTTATTATCCTGTGGGAACTTGAAACTAGAACTCGTTTCCCTGGCAACACCTTTTTCATCCATCCAAAAGCTTTTCAAATTCAGTCTGAGGGTGTCTCATTAACTATTTCCTATCCCGTTAATCCAAGTCAGAACTACTGTCTCAGAAAAAACCACTTTTTTATTTAAGCTATAAATGCACAGAAGCATGATAGCAGCTGCATGAAGAGACAGTGATCTAGATCTGGTCAGACAAGGTTGTCTCAAATGCAATCCATATTTCAAACCAGTGTCACAGTGGTTCAGTAAAACATAAACCCTCACTCTCCTCCTCTGAGTAGCTCCTTAGGCCCCACTTACTTTGCCATTGTGCCTAGAGTGCTATTGATATTGTCATTTATTATGTGAGTACTGCCAGCAGCATGCCTCCCTGTCAGCGAGGCAGCTGGAGGGATGGTGTTAGGCTTCTTATCACTCAGAACCTGACATCTCCTGTTTGTAACACAAGTTGGGCTCTGCTGGGTTCACCGTACAGCATTTTTCCTGGACAGTCTCTGTATTCACTCAAACTCTTCAGTGATGGGATCAAGTCTAACTGAGTGTCTGGCTGCCAATTCACTTCAGGGCACAGTATGAAATTGTTTCTCCTTTGAAAAGGTTACAAAAGTTTTGGGACCTAACTACCTCTGAAATCAGTCTCCTTCTCACATAACACCCTCCCATTTACAAACACTTTCAGTAAAGATTTATGTAGGAAGCGGCTAGCGCCAGAGCCCTGGCTTCTGGAAGCCACTTCGATTCCCTGCTAACAAGAACCTTAATTTCCTGTCCTCCTTCACAGGCTGCAAGGATTATCTATATTCTCAAAGCTAAGGGAAGTTCTTAATTCAGAGTCCAGTCCTGCCTCAACTGCCTGAGCCAGTATTCTTGCATTGCTGTTAATATTTACACCCATACCTCAAAGACAGAAAACTGTGTATGAGCAAGGCAGACCAAAAACCTCAGTGTATGTAAGAACTGTTAGCAACAGACTGTCCCCTGGACTGCTTGGGTACAGGGCCTGAAAAGAAACTATTTTATGCAATACATGGTTCTCTCTTATAAAGCACGTAGATATATTGCAAGGTTGTGCTAAAAGGAGAGCTACAGTCCAGACTAGTGAAAGACAAGACAGGCACTGATACCATGTAAGTACCCCAAACCTAACAATACATGTGTTAATGCAAGAAGTTATACATCACTCCTCCACTGGCACATTCCTCCCCTCTCCAGCAAAGCACCAGAGCCAAATATCATGCATACAGGGGCACGATAACTGAAAAGGGCAAGGGCTGTGTTAAGTAGCGAATCCTATATCCCAAGGGAACAGAGAAGGAATCCTACACTAGCAGCTTGTGCTTTGGCCTCCATCTGTGATGAAATCCCTACAGTGGGTTCTTACTATGGAGAGTGAGGTACTACTGAAATGACACAGTTCCTCACCCAACCCATAGACACCCAAAAGTCTGGGCAACACATAAGAATTACATTGCAGTGGGTTTGCGTGGCAAGGTTTTGGGGGAGGGACGAGGGGTGTGCGTGGCTACAGGGGTGACTTCTGTGAGAAGCCGCTAGAAGCTTCCCCTGTGTCTGATAGAGCCAATGCCAGCTGGCTCCAAGACGGATCTGCTGCTGGCCAAGGCCAAGCCCATCAGCAACAGTGGTAGTGCCTTCAGGCTGGGAGAGAGGAGTGGGAAGATGAGAGGAACAACTCTGCAGGCACCAAGGTCAGTGAAGAAGGAGGGGCAGGAGGTGCTCCAGGTGCTGGAGCAGAGATCCCCCTGCAGCCCATGGAGAAGACCATGGTGAGGCAGGCTGTCCCACTGCATCCCATGGGAAGCCCGCGCTGGAGCAGGCTCCTGGCAGGACCCATGACCTCGTGGGGAGAGGAGCCCACACTGGAGCAGGTTTGCTGGCAGGACTTGTGGCCCCATGGGGGACCCACGCTGGAGCAGTCTGGTCCTGAAGGACTACACCCTATGGAAGGGACGCACAGTGGAGCACTTCATGAACAACTGCAGCCCACTGGAAGGACTCACGTTGGAGAATTTTGTGGAGGACTGTTTCCCATGAGAGGGACCCCATACTAGAGCAGGGGAATAGTGTGAGGAGTCCTCCCCCTGAGAAGGAAGGAGCAGCAGAGACAACGTGTGATGAACTGACCACAACCCTCATTCCCCGTCCCGCTGTGCCGCTGGTGGAAGGAGGTGGAGAAATCAGGAATGAAGTTGAGCCTGAGAACAAGGGAGGGGTGAGGGGAAGGGGTTTTAAGATTTGGTTTTAGTTCTCATTACTCTACTCTGCTTGGTAATAAATTAGATTAATTTCCCCAAGTTGAGTCTGTTTTAACCATGACAGTAACTGGAGAACGATCTCTCTCTGTCCTTATGTCAACCCACAAGCCCTTTGTTATATTTTCTCTCCCCCGCCCAGCTGAGGAGGGGAATGATAAGAGTGGCTTTGGTGGGCACCTGGCCTCCAGCCAGGGTCAACTCACCACATACATTAAGAATAGGAAATACATAAGGAAAATATTTCCAAAACAATATTCACATCTAGGTTTGACCTTACTCATTGTTTATCTCAGTTAAAAATAAGACCCTGGAAAAATGCCAACTGTGAGACTGCTTATTTATGTGTAGTTAGTTCAACAAAGGAAGGTGGTCAGCTTACCTGGAATTTATAAGACTTTGATTATTCTTCTCATAGAACTGAAGCAGTAGCAGTATCTTCTGATCTAAACAACAAGACGAAACCCAAAGTCAGTCACCTGTGAAGATGAAAACCAGATCTAGTAGGAAGCACCTTTCCCAGGCTAACACACTTACCTACAGCACTCAGCGTAGCCCCGTAGGCACCCAACAACACGGCAAGGTGACTGCTCTCACACAGAGAAGGGCTGAGTTTCACAACTGTCAGCAGGATATCCACCAAGGCCTCTGAAATAAAAACACAGCTTTAGCTTTCTTGCTCTCTCAGTTAGTGCACATATGAATATCACCCCACACATATACCATTTCCCAGACTACACCAAAGGATGACTATGATGCATTTAATTCAAGTGGAACAATGGGGTTTTTTTTAAGAAGTTAAGACAGTATTTCCAAGCTGGACACACAAACATTATTGTGAGGTCCATGATGTGCATACTACCCTGCAGAAACTTTCCACGTGTACACATTTGCCCTCTGGTTAAAAAGAAGTGCTATACCCTATCGTACCACACCGCAGCTCCCTCCTCTACTAAGAGGGCATCTTAAATTAGCTCAGGAGTTGCACAGAGTAAAGGCAGACATCCCAGCAACCTCCCCAAGCTACTCAAGAAGTTACAGCAAGAACTCATAAGTTCACACCCCACCTGCAGTAAATTACCAAAATCTTTCTACACTGTTCATTTAAACAGGGGTCATCACTGCAGAATCCAATTAGTTAGCAAGCTACAGGAACTCTGACCTGGAGCATACAAAAATTATCCACCTTTATTTTAGAACCAGCTGAGAAACAGATCAAATAGGTGATCAGATTACTCAAAGGCAAATAGGGTATCTGTAGCAGATTCAAGACCTGAATCCAGATTTATTTACTCCCAGTATCTGAAAAGGCATGGGCTTTTTCACCTAGTATCTACAGGAATATAAAAATGCATGTCAAAACAAAACAGATTATAAATACAACAGCCTGAATGAATGCACTCTTGACACCAAGTTTCTGAATTACTGAAGTTAGCTAGCCTCAAAAAATCCATCTTGCTGCTTTACAGAAATACATTCAAAAGGTAAGACACATACAGTATGCAGCAAAACCTATTACTTATTTTTAATTTCACCACATTTGTGACTTCACAAGAGCTTTTAGCTCTTTTCGGGTGATTTAAAACTTTGAAGTTTGTTTACACATTGCTCACTGACATACACAAAATTTGTTATCAAATTGCTGCCCTCATTTCCTCCCCTTTTCTTATACATCATCTTCAATTGCTGAATCTCAAAGCCCTGTACAGTGTGAAAAAGCAAAGGTCAATGTAGATTTAATGATTGCTTCAAGGTCAGGTAGTATTTCAGTTGGCAGACATTAAGAAACAAAGCCAATTCTACACATGAACCATCACCCAATTTATATTATTCATGGAAGGGTATTCCTCATAAAAGGTTACAATATCAAATATACATCAATTAACATTTTTGATACAATTTGCAAAATCAACTTAAAATCTTCTGTATCAACCTATTTTAAAATGAGGGCCTCTGTCACACACATTTCTAATAGAACCTACACGCACTTCAGTGATCTCACACTAACAGCCTCACAAAAACCAGAAGAATCAATTCAAGACATCAACAGTGTTAAAAAACAAATAACTCCAAACCCACTTTTTCAGTAGTTTTGGAAAAAAAAAAAAAAAAAAAAAAAAGTGTTTAAAACCAGCAACCATAAAAGGAATACAACATTTGGATCCAAGTAGAGGTAGAATTTAAAACTAAACACTAATATTCTGGAATTGTTTAATAACTCTGCAAGTATATGTAGGTGGATAAGTTACTGGATGAATATAATGCAAGAAAGACAAGATTACTAAATATAGTTAAGGGGAAGAAAAAAAATACCTCTCGTCTGGGTGTTTGTGCCATCTTCTTCTCTTGACCTCAGTATGGCTGACAAAAATAGAGAGTGCTGCGTGACCATCATGTGAAGTTTGGAGAGCTTGACTAATCTCTGACTAAGTGAGGATTCTTTCTTGTATAATAACTGAATAGCAATATTCAGGACTTTCAAAAATGCTTCATCTGTGTAGCGGTACCTTTAGAAGCAAGGATCACAGAAAAGTTAGACCCCATCCAAAAGGAAAGCTGCTTCAAAAAAAAAAAAAAAAATCTGTTTAAGACATGAGAACTTTGCAAAGAAAGCAAACTTAGTAAAACCAGAACAAATTTTAAAAATACACTTCTTTTCCTGAGCTGTTTTTTTTTTTAAGCTACACTGCTATCTTAATTATAGAAAAGAAAGGAGAATCATCACACACAGTCACTCTTGTAGCTGCACTGATCTTAATAAAGGATTGCCTACTAACCCTTCAGACAGCAACCCTTCAGATTAACACTTCTACCTCTACAGAAGCTAAGATTACTCTAAAACTAAACTATTTTTGTTGAGGGTTTTTTTAAATTTTAATTTAGTTTTAAAACTAAACTACTTTATTTCTTTTATTTAAACAATTTACATTTAAAGGTGAAAGATCTGATTCTGTTTTCATATGATCTGTATTTAAGAAATACCTTAAATAAATAAAAAAGAAGTTATGTGAACATAAATCTTCTTTATGCCAGTTGAAAAGAAGCTAGTCCAGCTATCTACTTAGCTATGTTAGTTATGCTAACTGGAGCATAAAATCCAAATCTGCCTGCAGTTGTGCAGGTTCAGGCTCCGATGAAACCAGTGGATGTGACAAAGTGCATCCTGAGAAACAAGGAGCATTGTCAAATCTGATTGAATTCAAGGGAGACAGGTTGTTTCCAGTATAATGCAGGGCAAGGTCAAGTGAACAGAACTGGACCTCCTACAGCACCTTTGGTGCATCTCAGAATTACTTACTTGAGTCCTGTCTTCACAAGGCTGTACCAGTCATCTGGGTCCACTTCTTCAACAAAGCGCTGTGCATGTAGTAAGTAAAAATAGATGTTTACATTTAGCACATAAAGCTTCTACAGATCATCAAGACCAGCAATTTTTGTTCGACAGACACACTAATAATATGCAAGCCAAACAGTCAGGTGGGATGATGAAAGGTTAACAGGGAAGAAAGCTCTTGGATACAACAATCCTACGCCCCCATTCAAATGAAACTGCAAGTCTCATTTTGTTGGTTCTGAGAGCAAGGGAGCATATGGGCTGTATGGAATTAAAAAGCAAGCTCGTCTGTAGGTACCAAAAAAACCCCCCAGAGTTTTGAAACTCTTCACACTCCCGAAGTGTGAAAGGAATAAAAAGTCAGCAAGTCAAAACCGGAGACTAGGTTTTTGTATCTCTACAACATGCTTAAGCTAACCAACCTTTGCATGTGACAAACAGGGGTGGCTGGGTGTACGTGTCCTTTACAAAAAATGATCTTTCCTGAAATGCTATAAGCCACAGTAAACAACAATCAGTTTCAAGACTGTCAGCTGCACATGCCAGCAGTCCCGGTAATGGTGGGTGCTAACCTCGTCAGGCCTGTGAACACCGTCAGGATGAACACTATGAGGTGGCCCCATAGGTCCTGCTAGACTCTTGTCCTCTACAATCAATCATGTCCTAAAAAGGAATCTCACCAGAAGCCAGCAAGAGATTAAAGGCATTCACTGCCTGTGGAGACCTTCATGGATCAGCCTACCTTACTGAACTACAAAAGAAACGATAGTACAGAGGGAATGATCAAGTAGTGTCCTTTATGATCAAAGTCCGCACTTCTATCTATGATCAACTGGATTTCTGCCACAGATTTCAGAGGGCATGGCAGAAGGGTCTTGTCGGAAGTGTCTCTATCACTTTTTTTTAAATAAAAACATCCATTGGCAACCTTTGATTTTTAACTCTTGAATACCTCAAACTCTGATTTTCAAAGGGGACTGTTAGCAGAAAGTCATCATCAAGAACAACTCAAAACTGCTTCTTATAAAGGACTCGCAAGCTAAGTTAACTATGCAAAAGCTATTAAAAGCCCGTAGAAGCCATAATCCATGAAACAGAAAATAAAGTGCAATCTACATTTACTCAAGATACAAGAGCACAATAACACATATGCACAGTGTCACATTCTAGCAGTGCAGATAGAAAGAAGTCTCACCAATAATTCTTCTAGCCTCAGCAGCATGGACCTCTCCACTTCTTGCTTTCTTTCATCTTTACTGCTGTTGTACATGACAATTAACCCCTTCATGCAGGCTGATAACAGGCGTCTCCTCCAGGAATTCAGCTCTTCAGAGTTTTCAAGCACTCTAGATATAGCATCTGCCACTGTCCAACTACAGAAGGATATTTATTTATTTATTTATTAATGTTGTAACATGCTTTTTTGTAAAGATATGTTATCATAAAGACATCTTGCTGCCAAAGCGTAAAGTGACAGATTCTCTGAGGAGAGGATGCTACTATTGTTCACAATATTTGCATTCATGCATATCTATCACAATGCTTTATAGGACAAACCAAGTGCTGAAACAGGGCAACTGGATTTGCCTACCTCTCATTATTTTCTGCTTTCTCAAGAGCAGCAGGAAGCAGGTCAATAAGGTTTCGCAACCCTTTGCTTTCCGAAGATGGCAACAACTTTGAAAGGACTTGCAGTTTCACAGTAGTCTCATGTGACGCTTCTGTGTCTTGAAACACACTGCAGAGCTCCTTCCACAGAGCTTTCCTCAAGACAGGTATAACAGCTGAGACAACTGTTGGGAGAGAGCAGGGGGCACAGGTTCCACCATCTAAGTGTGTTAAGCCACAACAGACTTATAATTACAGAAATCCCAAATCACTTTTCTAATCAAGACCCAGATTACTTAGTTTCTAGGAAATTATATTACAGTAGCTGCTCATATGCAACAGAGAAGCGTGCTCTGTATTGCTTCACAGCACCATTAGGAAGTGTTTAGCATATGTACCAGACAACCACTTGCTGAAACGATTAGATATGGGCAAACAAAGCAGACCTTCACAAGAGGGACAACTTCCTGATAAGAAGCCTTGCTGTTGCGTCTCAGGAAGGATGAAACCTCTACCAGTTCCATGACCCTGGGCTCAAAGGAAATTTTCTCTCACATCAACAGACAGCTGACAGGTACTTTATAAATCACGTCAGTCAGACAGCAGTTTCCCCTTCTAATGTTCAAGCACGAAACCACTGGTGTGTATTAGGTGCTAGAGAAAGGCTTAGTTCTTGAACCATCCTCTACTTTCCTGTGTGCTGATAAGGTCTTTTCACTACTTGAAATTCTCCTAGATAGAGGTAGCCTTCCCCACCAACCACTACAGTCAGCCTGTTTCTGTTGCTGTTCACATTTCTATGCAGTAAGAGAAATGAAATTAAAAGTGATCCTGTTCTGGCGAGTTGAATCCTAACATAGTTTTGCTGGTAGAAAATTTAACAGTCTTGTCAATGTAATGCTGCTGTTGGTTTGGAAAGTTTTGGACTGCCAGCTTAGGAAGGCATTACTGTAGGAAGCTATATTTGGAGATTTATTTTAGAAGAAAGTTTTGGACTCTTACACTTACAAAAGTGAAAGCTTACGTTCTGCAAAACCATATGGCTATGGCATTCCACTCACCAGAGAGTGTTCTATCTATGCCCAAGAAAAGTTTTTACCTCCTATACTAAACCAAGATAAGCACAAAGACAGATTTTCATATGCACTAAGTATTAAATAAGGGCTTCAAAAGAGGAAACTGGGCAACAGCAACTGTAAGAGTACTTTGTTTCAGTCTAACAGGCAAGCTTCATTACAGTCCTTTACCTTTTATGCTGCAGAGGTGCTTATAAGAGAATCGTTAGACACATAACTTTTACCACCTCTACTTATTGTGCAGAGGATCCAAGACTTTAAGGACAGCAGAGCCTACAATGAGAATTTGGCCTCCTGAAACACAAATAGGGATCAGTTGTGGCTTTACCTGTGGAAGGTCGAGTGAAATCATACTGGTCTCTGCATTGCAAATACATATTAATGAGTGGAAGAAAGGTCTCCATGTTTTTCCTGAGGTACTTTCCCATGTCACTGCTCAGACACCACAGCTCAAACTGCAGCAGGTGAGTCCTACAGTGTTTTATCAGTATGCCCACAATGGCAAGGGAGGTTTCTGACCTCTGGTTAAGGCAGTGAACGTGCACCTCTACACTGACTGCGTGTGCAAGGACTGGCTCGCTTTGGAGAGCCTGAAGGAAAACCTTCTCAAGATCTTTGCTGGCTGATGCTGACATCAATATCCCCAAAGTTTTAATGTGCTCTGTGGATAGCAGTAGTTCTCCTTGTTGGGGCTGCCTTTGGTAGCTCTCTGTGAGAAGCTGCACCAAAATCTGTCCATAGAAGCTTAATTGTTTCCCTTTTTTAGGGGATTTTTCAGATTTCTGAGTAGTCAAGCTCATCTCAGGAAGTCCCAGCATGGCTGAAGTGATCTCCTTCAGCTGAGCTGCAGCCATGTATATCTGCAATTCCTCCAGAGCCTGCAGCTGGTGAGACTTCTTGGGAGAGACCTGGATCCTGCCTTTCCCCACAGCCTGTAGCTCTTTCAAGACACTTTTTGTGATAGCTTCAAAATACTTCGATAACACACGTTTGTGATCCATGCTCTGCAACATTGGGGCACCCATTTTCAATAGCTGGAGCACACCGGAATTGAGGCGAGCTGACAGGAGCTTCACAGTGAGAGGGTTTAAACTGTGCTGAGGAAGAGAACGTTGTTCTAAAGCCAGGAACCAACTCTCCAGCGTAGGATGTCTGAAAATCAACATGAGTGTATCTTCTAGTGTCTGTAACAAATGGGTATAACAATATCACTGAATGGATAATTACAGTTTGGGAAAAAAAAAAAATCATTCATCTGCCTATTTTGTAGAGTGTGTTTATTACAATTACTGCACATTAAATTGTCTATTAACTGGTCAGAAGATTAAAAATATTAACAAATTACAAGCACATAAATACTATTCTTCCATGATTTATAATGTGGGAGGCACACCTTCACTCAACATTCTCCACACATCTAAGCGTTTCCAGGGGAAAACTGTATGTTCTGGGGTTTGTCAATACAATTCCATTCTAACCTCCACAAATTCACAGCACCTATAAAAGTGGGGCAAAAATTCCCTCCTTCAAATACCTAATTTTCATAACTGGGCTTTACACAGGGCTCAGGGAATAGAATTTCTTCTGCAAAGGTGAGCGATCTCTGTCAAGACCTCTCCTAACCATATTCCAGTTTAGGGGTGAGACTGTGGATGATGCAGCTTGGTCAAATCTCTAGACAGTAATTTTGTAACTGCTGGACCACATGCTCAAAGTTCCTAAGAGTTCCTCCTAGACCTTAACAGCATGTCTCTGCATCAACCTGTTACCACTCAATACAACTCTGTGAAATACACAGCGTATGCATGATATCATGTTCGCTCCCTGCCCTTTTGAGGACCTGGCAAAAGCAGTAAAATCCTACTCAAGACCTTTTACAGCGAGCGTGCGACAGGGACGCTTTAATCCTAATTGAAATCCTAGAAATTCTCATGATTATTATCAAGTCACAGCACTCACAAAGCCTGATCCCTGCTAGATCCCCTAGTCTCTGTCACGTTTAGCCAGTTGCATATTTTGGTGATCAGTGAAAACATATTAACATAATTTGTGCTCAAAAATTGTTCATGTTTAAGATCATTTCCTTTAATTAATGGTCCAGCAAAACCTAAGACTAGTTCCTGAGGGAATAAATCAAATCAAAGTTTACTAACAAGTGAGCTTCTGGCCTGCATATCAAGGGATTTGATACCTTGTCATTTGAAGACTCCTCCATAACCAGAGATTCCTCATCCATGAAGAGATCTGATTCAGTCTGATGCTTTTCTCGTTTCTGCTGATTATCCAACTCTATCTGATTTGCCCGGCACAACAAGCTGCTCAGCAGGTCCACACAGAGGTCAACAAGGGCAGGACCAAAAGTTTTACTAAGCTGTGAAAATAAAGACACCTTGGAAGTTGAGAAAATGAGAAGGATGGGAGTAGATGGACAATTATCCAACAGGAACAGAAGTTAACTAAGAACTTCCTAAATTAAAGCCTTTTCTGGGGGAAGGAATCACTCCCCTCTGTAGAAACCCAATTCTAAAAAAAGTCTCAGGGCGCCAAATAAATATAGATTTTCATCTATACTGCAACTTTTGGTGTAACAGAGGCCATTGAATTTCACTCTCTGGAAAGGCTTCTTATGGGAGACCCAGGAGCTGGATTAAAATCTGGAGTTTATTTACACTACACAAAGATCAGTGAGGTAACCCATGCAATGTGAATCCAAGACTCCTCAACAATTAGAGGGACAGACATTTGTTTATAAATTAGGTGCAGGTTTGTCTGGTGCTCTATCGCCTCAGTGAGAGCTGAGTATGTGAAAAAGCTGCAGAACTGGATCCTTAAGTTTTAACAGCCAAGTCATTTGTACTTTCTGCATTAAAAGAAAACAAACCAACCCACAATATCCTCACAATATTGCTCTTACACTGCCAAAGTTCTCCACTGTGGATTTCAGGTATAGCAACACATGCTTTACTCCTAACAAAAGTTGTTCAGGCGGGAGATGGGAAGCCAAATCTCTCAACTTTGTCTGGATATCGTCTTCCAGTAAGGTATCACTTCCTCTCTCATAGGCTTTCTTTAGCAAACTGGTAAATACAGAATCCAGGGCCACAGCAGGTTCTTTGCACACCTCTTTGCATTTTTTAAACTGTTTAAAATGGAAAAAAAAAAGATAAATAAAGGTAAGTATGAATCAAAAGTTTCTTCAGCTACCTTTGTTTTCAAATGAGTTCTGTGCTGAAATCGGGACTGAAGTCCCAGCAAAACATGTGTACAGTCCTGCTATCACAGAGCTAGTCAAAGGTGTCCCGCGGGGAATCCGCACGTGGTCACTGCTGGGCTAACAGAAAAACACATCAACACCTTGCACAACTGGTCCATGTATTTCCTGGGTGAACTCCAGCCACTGTAATCGTGCTCCTTGGGCCACAACATATATTACGCTACACTGCGCCTGACGAGGACTTGTACTCTGCGTGATTGCAGACAATCCTTGAGCCCTGGCTTCACACAGACCTCTTGCGTCATCAGAGGAGCAAATTTGTGATCAAGAAGCAATACAGAATTAGCTTAATGTAAACACACTTCCTGATGGAAGCGTTAACCTTTCTACACTGTGAGGTTTTATAGTAAGTAATACCAACTCAAGCAATCACATGACTTCAGGTATTCCATACCAGAGGTTGCTGGGATTGCTGGGGTATCCAGAGGTTATAGTACTGGTTAAATTGGTAGAGCTGAGGATACTTAGAAACTTTCAGCAGAACTTTCAGATCTTTATCATAGAGCTGGAACATCAGGCAGAGGGCAAGGGGATCTCTTTGAGAGTGCAGGAGGTCAGTGAAAACAGCAACAAGATACTCCACAATGTGTGCTCCTAGAAAAGCAAAATAAAAAATGAAACCCTTGTTGACAGAAGTAATCTGCATGAGCACAGACACTAAGGCAACCCTCTTTCCTTAAGGCCTGGGCAATAGGCCATATAGCATCATTTTAAAAAATATTGAATAGGATTAAAAGGTGTTTGTGATTAAACTAGACAAGTGTTCCTGACCCACTGAGCTATCTGGAAAAATCCTCCATACAGTAGTCCTTGCTGAAGTAAATAATCACCCCACTTTAAGATACATGCTCAGGTTGGCCTGTCTCCTTCCAGACAAACATAAAACTAACTCTGTCTTTGCTGTGTTGTGCTAAACTTGTCTGTATTTTGATGGATAAGGACCCCTGCCCAGCACCACTAAGAACAGAACTGATATGTACTAGTGGGAACACACCCAAGTTAACATGCACTGGTTAAATACGGAGGATTTTCTTTCAGAACTCGGACTTTCTCGCCCAGCCCAGGTGCTACTCAACAGCCAAATAGATAGGACTTAGTGAGGCACTGTGGGGTTGGCAAATCCTGCTCTGAGGCCAACTGCTGCCCCTGTGGTGCCTTGCTCCACCAAATCCTTTCCTCAAGGAGGTGGGAGAACTTTGCAACATTCATCCCTGGAGCGTCATCTCTGAAGAGGAAGTTTTCTTTGAAAACACATCCATTTCCTACTCAACAGTCCAGTTCTCTTTCCCCTACCGACTTCTCTCAGTGGAAGAGGTGCCTACAGCCACTGAAAGCACCTTTCTCTCACAATCTGCACACTCTGTGCTTAAACACCGTTGTTGTTGTAGTGCAACTGCTTTCAGACCAAGATTGCCCATGCAGGGACAGTGTCTCTGCACTGCTCCTCGGTCCCCTCTATACTGTGCTCAGAGCAATTTCTTGTCTGGCCTGGGGTCATTCTCCTCCTTCACTTCCCCACATCTCATTGGGGAAAGGTGAGCTCTCATCTTCTAACTTGGGCAAGTTTGTTTTCCTACAGTAGCAGCTCCCTAGAGTTGAACTGCAGTTTATAGAGTGCCTGCATTTCCATCTATTTTCCCTACTCTGGAAACCAAGAGAGAGCTTCTTTAGGATCAGGAAAAAAGGACAGAAGCACCACATAAGCTTTAATGCCTCTCTTGAGCAGGGAACACCATGGATCTACACCTCCTTCTGCTTGCAACAGAGAGAACAAAATACCTCCAGGAGTTCACTGGGTAAGAATGTATCACTGGCATAGATGATACATAGAAACAAAAAAGTCTGTACCTGTTCCATTTTCAGTCTGAAGCAACAGTATATTCCTGGCTTCTAATGCAGCAGGGACAACAGCACTGAATGGAAATGTTTGGATGACCGTGTCTTCATTTAAAGTGAACCCAATTTCTTCATCCAAGCCATCGCTGCCCTCAATTAGGACATCCACCATATCTAGGACATCTATTAAGTGAAGAAAAAAACGTAAGCAGAGGATTCGGACGAACTAGAAAACAATGGAGAAAACATCATGTTGGATGTTGAAAACAACATCCAACATTCCAGGAATACAAGGCAGCTTCTGACTTCCCAAAGCAAAAAAATGATGAAAGACATGTTTGATTAGCAATGTAATGGTAAATGCAACTGTAAAAAACACTCTCTCTTACACTGTGCTTAACTTCACTTGTTGCCTTTCAAGACTGCTGACAGAAGTAAGGGAAGGGAAGAGGTGCATCACCTACTGCTATCATGATGGCATTAGCTAAGGACTATCAGAACATAACAGTGACAGGAAATGTGTATGGGAAAGCACAAAGGAAGCAGCCACTTCCTCATTAAAAGAACATTCTGAGCAGTCCTTAAAGAGCTTCTCAGCTCTATATGGCCACAGAACCAAATCTTGGTCATGAAAGAGTCAAAGACAGCTTTAACTTATGAAGAAGATACCATGTATTCCATGGCTGTGTAATACAGTCAACTCAAGGCAACTGATCCATCTGGTACCGAGTGTTAAACTACCTTAATTATCTTACATTTATGTACTGCAAAATCCTACGCATGGACTGTTATAGCGGAACAGCTAGCACATGGTAAGTTGTCCAAGTGTCCACATCTGCAGCATTTTGAGTTTGTCAGCAGTAGGACTGTGACTGGTCCCAGAAAGCAGGAGCAGTGAAATTCCAGCTGTGTGCCTGGGAGCATGAAAGTTCCCCGGGCACCCCAGCCCTGTCCCTTTCCTCATGGATGAGCAGCTATGAGCAGCCCCAGGGAGAGGAACTGCAACAGTTTTCATTTTAGTTAGAAAATGCTGCTGCAGGAGCCTAGAAAGAGATTTAAAATACTGTTAAAATGGCATAACTGCATCAGAAATTACTTTTGGAGGCAAAGTGGTAATTTTGCAATTCAGACTTCTACTGCGGGTACTAAATACAGCTCAAAGGCTGAATCCTGCAAGTCCTTACTTACGCAGGATTTGTCCTGTTTGTCATCAGTTTGCAGATTAGGGCTAGAAGATTTCTCTGTTGTTGAGGAAATCACCACACACTGTCAATGTGAGAGATGGAATCACTACATACCATCAATGTGAGAGATGGGGATGCTGACGTTATCAGAGTCTTGTTTAAATATATTAACTTGGAGCATACTGGCCTCCTGAACAAGGTCTGCTGCTTTATCTGTATATGGATAGGGGTTTGTCACCAGTTTCAACAGGATCTGTTAACAAAGGTTGAGAGAGAAACGTAAGTGGACAGGCTATTAAGTCTACGGGAACCGTATCTTGTTAAGGAAGACAATTTCCATATACTTCTGCAGGAATCTACCTATGGTTACCACTGTACATGGGACACTGGGCCTGAAGGAAAAAGAAACGTCTGCTGCAGTTTTGCACCTAAAGCGCTACCACAGAGTGAGTCCCTGGAGAAACTGCAATGAAGAGGAAGCACTGGGCATTTAACATCCTGGAAAGTAAACAGGAAATGCCAACTTTTCTTGTAAAATATTATAATTTACTTAGGCCTGATAATTTTGGCAGGTATTGCCACATAAAGAAAAGAAGAGATAAGAGCTACCCCCACACATAACACTCTACCCTTCCATCAACAATACTGTAATAACAACTTATCTTTCTGGATGTAATTTTCCTCCAAATCATTCCACCGTCCTCCCACCCAAGACAAGAAAGATGTCAGTTTTGTACAAAGAATTACAAACACTGCCTTTCTCAGAATTCATTCACTGATCTTTGAAAAGTTTCTCAACAATAGCAACAAAATAATTAGCTTCCATTAATGCTATTCTTGACATTGTTTATCCAGCTAATTTGAACAGTTGTTACCCTTTCCAAAAATTGAATCACTGCTTCCTTTCTGTCTTCTTTTGTATTATCCAAGTGTTCCAGCCAAACTGAAAGTTCCTTCCACGTGTACTCAAACACTCCGCTGTCACGTAAAACCTGTCCAGAAAACCAAAGGGGGGGGGTTTAAAAAACAACCCCAAAACAAGCAACAACTAAAATACAAAACCCCTGAAAAAGCACAGATCTTTTTGTAGACCAACTTCATGTTTTCTTCTTCTGGGGCAGGGAAGAAGAGTAAGTTGATGAAAAGAACTGTCTGTCATTCTCACCCCCTCAGTTCAAGAGGCCTGATTCCCACTCACCAGGGACATTCTAACTGCTTAACAGAGGATAAACCAATGCATTTTTTTAAAACAAAATCTCCCAAGACTGTATCACCTGACCTCAGCGTAACTAGGGCCAAGGCCTAGTGTCTTCATCATGAGCGTTTTGCTTACTGCGCTCTCAGCAACAGCAGTAAGAGGTGAGGCATGACTATATTACAAGTGATGAATGAAACCCACTGAGCTCTGCCAGACACACACAGGTGCTGTAGGAAAAGGGCAAGAAGTGGTCCTGGGAAAGAGAAAGGAGGGCTTTAAGAATGACCAAAGAGGCAAAACATGGCTTACTCTCTCACAACTGGGAAAATTAGCTGAGAGCAACTTCTTTCTGCTCCTGTCTTCTCAGAGCCTCTCCTCTCACCTGCTGCCTGCAGCACAAACCCAGTACAACTCCACTTAGTTCTTACCCTCACACTGACCATGCATATGGGATGGATCCTGCCTGCACCCCGCTCAAGTACGCTGCCAACAGCGGCTGGACTGGGCAGTGAGCACGTGGCGATCTCACTACAAACGTTCATAGCCACGCATTTGGAATATGAGACCTCTACAAGAACTCATGGCGCAGGAATCTGCTTCAGCACATGCCGGGGCAATATGCATGTTGTGCTACCTGCAGTGCTGCTCACTGCAGCAGCCTCTCTGCTGCTTCGCTGCTCAAGGCCTACGGTGTGGGGACACAGAGGAAGAGAGCTGGCTGCAGCACAGAGCCATAGCCAGGGCCAATCCATCTTGTTGCTCCCAGCCTGCAAAAGGGCCTTCTATGTTGGACAGCTTCAGCGGAGCTAGTGTGTCCCCTGCCCCTCACACGGCCTGAAACACAAGATGTGTCCCCTCCAACGGGGGCTACTGCAACGCTGTCTCACACACTGGCAAGGAAAGTCCCCCTCAAGGCACAGGCAAAGGTAAGAGCCAAAGTCTAGCAGGACTTTTGGTCCAATCATGTCAAGTTCTGACTGCTTGACAACAGAAGTCAGCACAAACCCTACTGAGGTCAAAGTTCTCTGTAGACAGAGCATTCGTTTCCTCCACCTTAGTAAACCTTATTCTTATAATTTCAGGGGAGCAGGCTATACTGCTTTAAGAGGGTTGTACATTTTTATGAACATATGATACCATTACAGCAAGGAAAAAAAAAGTGCCATACCCTTTTAGGGTCTTGAAAACTACTGATGTAATATAAAGGAAAACCACTGCTAAATTAAATCTAAATCAGGCTACTTGTGCTTAGAAGAGCTGGGCAGATGGGTAAACAGTCAAATAAATGAACAGTGGGTCGTGATCACAGTAAGGTCCAGCGAGAAGCATAGGCATGCTCATGGTTGCTGTGGGTGGTGAGGTAGACACAATTTTATCACAATCTTTGTCAAGCAATAGGTGTTAACATATTTAGAAATTTTTGCCCACTTTCATGCTATCTAAATTCAGGCCCTTATCTGAGGTACCTAAATTAGGAACTTGGTGGCCCTATGCTCTGTCTGTGAAAGAAAGAAAGGATGAGGAGGGAGAAGAGGAGGAGGAATGGCTGTCTGAAGGACAATTCAGATGACAGGCAATTTGAACTGTACAGTGGTAGAACCACCTGCCCCTCACTCTCAACAACAGAGGAAACCTTGACCAGCTTCCTAACTCTGGCACCTACACTAAATGACTGTAATTATGCAGGATGAATCTGTGCCTTTGTTTCTCCACACACACAAAACACAAAGGAAGCTATCACAGCTCATTTGTTCTACATTTACTCTGTGTACACCACCATCAGCTATAAAAATAACACCACTGCTTACACAAATCTGACAGGATAATTCATTTAAAGAAAGAGAAAAAAAAGGAAAAAAAAAGGATTCGTTTTTAAATAATTAACTATTTTTGGCAGAGTCTCGAAATAGAAATACACTTGCAGCTCTCATGAAAACAGGCAGGAACAGAATGTGAAATCCAAAAACATGCCTTCAGATTATACGGCACTGTGTTGAAAAATAAGCAAAACACCCTCATTAATATCTATTCTTAGCAGCCTTTCTGCTGACATAACTGCCCTAAACTTCACTGCTCCTGTATTCAGAGAAAATGAAATGGATTGAATCTAAAAGAGGAAACAAGAATGAGTCAGGCAGCCCACATCTCCACTCAGCAAAAGAGTCCAAATACACTAGAAAAACTGTACTGGGTAGGTTTTGATTGAGATATTCATTACTGTGAGACAAAGGTAACCTGCCTTTAATCCCTTGTATGGATCAAGGGCAACTAAATCCTAATTCAATCACTGTAACTTTGGTGTAGTGGATTGGATATCACAATTGCACCCTGTGAAGTTAAATGCACAAATTAAATGCACAAAGCTGCATCCAAACTTGTATGCCACTATGGGACACTGCACAAGGAGCCATGTTCAGGGCTTAGAATAGCTTTTTGGATTTTCTCTTGGGAGGGACAGCTGGTTGGGTTTGTTTTTAATGTACCTCCACTTAGATAATTAAAAGATGCCCAGTTTTAAAAAGATACTGAAACTGACTGCCACTGGTGCGCTCATGAGATATGTAGTTGATGAGCACTTCTGAAAAGTCAGATAACTTATTTAAATGTACAGAAGGGGATTTTAATTCATTTTTAAGACAAAAGTACTCCTTGCATCAGAGACTGTATCAGACTGTAACAAACAGGACTATTTTGCAAACTAGCTAAGGCTTTAGGAAGGCTAGAGTGATGAAGTACAGATTAAATAAATGATGATAAAAAAGAAAGATCAAAAATCATCTCTTCCTGATCAATGTCAAGACCTTTGCAGGTACAAACTACATTGGTTTATTACAATATTGGAATTAATTCAGTCTGGGGGGGTTGGCAAACATTAAAGACGTTTTCCTTACCATTTCATCAACTGTGGTAGCAAATTCAGTTGACAGCATTTACTTTCATAGAATATTTAGCTAATAGGTAGTTATCTTACAGCAATCTCCAAGAACAGTCACAGAAAAAGGGAAAGAAAACTGTTGGCCACACAACTATGCAGTTAAGGTATCCGCTTTAAGAAGAATTTTAGAATACAGACATTTTAGACCAATGGGATATAGTGAATATCCTGATATGTCAGATCAAACGCTTACCTTGATGATCAGTTTTTTGGTTGAAATTTTCAGATGAGAATGGTTACTTGTAACAAACATTTTCATCAGTAAATAGAATACAGATTTTTCACCAGATACCTTCTCTGTCTCAGAGACATCCTAAAAGAAAAATATATTAAAATTCCTCTGGTACAGCAACACTGTACAGGATTATGTTACACTGAAGCAGACATGTAATAAAAGTATATTATTTTATAGACCTGCCCAAAAATGCCAGGCAGATGAGCCAGGAAGATAAGTACAACTTTTTTTGGAAAGTGGGAGAGAAGTAACAGAAACACCAACTAAGGGTCCAAGATAAAGCCACTTTCCTCCCCAAGCATCCATTCTACTATTTCTGTTATCCCCAGGAATTCAGATTTCCTACAAGTACTGTCTGAATAAAACATACAAACATTTAAGAGACTGATCCCCAAAGAACAGGAAAACAATGCAAGTCACAGGGATGCCGAACGTTATCTGAACATCAAATGACAATCCTTCCGCCACCTCCTCTGCTTTTCTCACTGACTGCATTTGATGTCTAACAACCGTAACCCTCTGCAAAGTTGCCAGATTTAGCTTTTATCTTTTCTGTTAAAACCTGTCTATACTAGAAGGGCAAAGCTACAAGAAAACACTTTAGCTTCTTTGCCTGTTTCCAGGTTTTCCTTTGCTTGCTCTTAACTCTGCTCAGTTTTCCTTTATAGCCAACTGGAAAGGACAGAAAATCTCCTACAAAGAAGGGTCACAGTCATAACAGCTATGGGTTTCTCTGCTTCCCACCAAAGCTAGGCCCACTCTTCTCTCCAGACATGAAAAGCAGGCTCTCTACAGTTCTCTTACTTTACAGGCCTGCAGTAAAAAAGAGAGCAGGGACCCTGAAAGTTTCCAATAATTATGGAGAGGAGCGACAGCCTTAACAAAAGCCAGAATCTTCCCTGGGAATGGGTGGGATGGCTCCCCTCAGCAGCTCATGTCCTTGGTTTGAAATCTCAGGCTTTCCAGACAAGTGGAAACTAGCAAATTCTCACTCTTGCCTCTCTGCAAGGACAAGAAGAGCTGAAGGAACCTTGGCAGCCCTTGTCAGGAGGCAAAAAATTCTGAAAAAAAACCCAAAACACCTTTTCAGCTCAGAAGGGACTCTTCACTCATGCTAAGACTGCAACTCCTACTGGTTTTACAAAAGGGCCCCCTCCTGAAACGACTGGACTGGGACTAGTTTAAAACAAGGCACTGCCAGATGTAGAGACTTGAGGACAACAGGCCAAAGAAACATAAATCTGCCTTGAAGTCTCTTACCTGTACTCTGAACCAGGCAAATTTATTTGCAGGAAGTTCCAAAGCCACTTTCAGTATATGGTACTGCAAAACAGGAGGGACCTCCTCTCGGAGGCCCTTTTCAGTGACGATACCTGAGGTTTGAAAGCAATACAAGCAACTTTATTTTGGTATATCTTCCCAAGCTTTCAGGAACACTGATCTTTTAAGGTTTCAAACCACCACTGCAAGATAAGCTGGCAATCCACAAGTTTTCATACCATGAGATCCCCAGACACGCTACAATTATGTTTGGCCAACCTAAGGCTAGAATTCTCCCCACATACTGCCAAACTATGATAAAATAATTCACAACACAACAAATGGAAAATATACTTAAATGTTAAAAGATTTTCCAGAAGAGACTGGTGAATTGGTATGTGCTTCTCCCCCACCCCAAACTTTCTGTGAACTATCCTGTTAAAAAAATAAATCTGTATCATTGTGGCTAATAAGAGTTTGGAAATTACTTACTTATGTTGGATTGTTGACAGAGGTCTACAAGAACCATACACCCAAATCTCATGAAGAGTTGGACATAAGTTTTCCTCAGAAACATTAGAATTAAAACCCCACAAAGACCAAATTTTTGCAAGAATATGACACACAAAGAGGAAGACTGTAGCACAACCTATCACTTACAACACTTGAGTGCAGCAGAGCAGCTATGGAATTTAAGAAGGCAAAGTGCCAGAGCACCACAGATATAGCAACAATAAATGCCAACACAACAAAGAAGCTAAAAGGGATTACTTTTAGAAAACAGTTCTTTCTCTATCTACACAGAAAACATTCCTTTCTGCTGTGGACCTTGTAAATAGCCAGAGAAATACCCATCACATACCTTTTAGCAGCTTGCTAAAATCAAAGTTGCTCCGTGTTACCAAGTGGGGCACGACCTTCTGGTACAGGCATATGACTTGAAGTAGTGCAGCTTTCAGAAACAGTGTCTCAGCATCATCAGAACCTAAACAAAGCGTTTACATAATTAGTTTCTCCCTCCTTCATACCAAGAGAGCATAGCGTAGCACCTGCATTATCCAACAGAAGAATTATTAACTATATTTCTAATAGACTTGCCTATGAAATGATCAGTTATCCTCCTCACTAACAGGAAGAAACAGGAAAAAAACCCCCATGGAATCCCTAGTTTCCTTCCCCAGCATTCCTGTGTAAATACTTTTAAAACTAAATCAGCTTCGTCAGTGCTTAAACTGGCAGTTGCCATTTCTAATTTGATTCTAAAGTACTCATACATATAAAAGACAACCTCAACATTTTAACACTCACTAAGAATCCAATCCGTCCCACTGCTGTTCAACTTAAGGCTGAACAATAGAAAAAAGTGAAAAAAGGATGTGGTCATGCTGCTGGTTTCCGGGGACACTATTTTTACCTAATGCCAGGTAGGTTTGACTGGGTAAGTGCAGGAGACAGTATACTAATTTATTACTTCAGTTAAAGGTTTCTTTCTTTCCCTTCCCTCTTTCAAAATACTTTCTCAATGTGACCTCATGGCAAGACGAAGACAACAAGCATCTGTATAAGAGAAACATCAACCCCAGTTCAGGCAGCCGTTTACTTCTTGGGAAAGGTATTTCAGCAGCTAAACATTCTTTTAGTTTATAACATGAGGACATATAAAAGCTACTTGGTATCCAGTCACTAATTAAAGGAAGCAAAATAAATGAAGGGCAGCCAAAACTTTTTTTAAACACCTACTTTTTTCCTGTTAACTGGGTCTCCCTCAGGGAGCTATGAAGAACTGGATGGATGCCATGCATAAACCTTGTCATTGTTTGCCTGAGTCTCAAATCCCATTAAAAAACAATTCTCTAGTAGCCACAGTGCAAATAAAGCTGTAAAAGGTGATCTGAGAGTAACTGATACAGTATTATCACCCTGGTATGCAGAGAAACTACAGCTCCAGTACTTTAGAGATTAGGTGCTCCATTGGTTTCAGAGGGCACTCTACGAATAAAGAGCCTTGGAGTGTCAGTGTTGACAACTATTCTGCTGCCCAAAGCCACACACTGAAGGACATACACTTAAAAACTCTCTGTTCCAGGAAGTCTTGCTGTGGAATATGCCCTGTGAAGGGCATGAAACTAACTGTAGATTTATCTTCAGCCTGTAAGTAAAGCACTGCAGGCTGCTAGCCAAGCTCCAGAGAGTACTAAAACTTCAAGTTCCCTGCAATGGGACTATGAAAGCACATCCTTCAAGAGGGACACTGGTTTTGAGAAAGGACAACTGAAGCCTTCATTCCAACCCTCTCTCCCTCTTCCAACACATGCATGTTTCTACTCCTGTGCTACAGCAACACAAGCGTTTGTATAGCCACGTTGACTCAAGCTTTTTGTTATACTTCTCCTCCCCATCCAGCTGGGGGCGGGGTAAGCGAGTGGCCACGTGGTGCTCTGCTGCCGGCTGGGCCTAAACCACGACACCACGGTTACTAACTGCTTCAAAAATATGATCTCATGGTAAAATAACTTGGCCAAACTGAAACCCCTCAAAAACCTATTTTTCAGGCATATCACAATTTACCTGCCTGTTTTATCACGTGGCTGCGAGATACACCTACTACTAGCACAGGAGGGTCAAAGTCAGGAGGGTTAAGTTCAACAAGGGGAACTGCAGAGTCCTGCACTGGAGGAGGAACAACCCCATGTGCCAGTACATGCTGGGGGCCACCCAGCTGGAAAGCAGCTTGGCAGAAAAAGACCTAGGGGTCCTGACAGACACCAAGCTGAATACGAGCCAGCGATGTGTCCTTGCTGCAGAGAAGGCTACCAGTATCCTGGGCTGCATCAGGCAAAGCATTGCCAGCAGGTTGAGGGAGGTGATCCTTCCCCTCTACTCAGTGCTGGTGAGGCTGCACCTGGAGTACTGGGTCCAGTTATGGGCTCCCCAGTACAAAAGAGACATGGGTACACTGGAGAGATTTCAACGAAGGGCCACGAAGATGACCAAGGGACTGGAGCATCTCTCCTGTGAGGAAAGGCTGGGAGAGCTGGGACTGTTCAGCCTGGCAAAGAGAAGGCTTGGGGGGATCTCATCAATGTATAGAAATACCTGAAGGGAGGGTGCACAGAGGATGGAGCCAGGCTCTGCTCAGTGGTGCCCAGTGGCAGGGCCCGAGGCAATGGGCAACAACTGGGCCAAAAGAGGGACTGGAACACAGGAGGCTCCATCTGAACATCAGGAAACGCTTTTTCACTGTGAGGGTGGCCTAGCACTGGCACAGGTTGCCCAGAGAGGTTGGACAACCTGATCTCCAGGGGTCCCTTCCAGCCTCAACTATTCTGTGATTGTATGACAGCAGAAAGTCAAACTGCTTGACCTCCTAAGTAGCAACAGTAGCCTATTTGTCAAACTGTGTTCTTAGGCAATTCTGATGCTGGTCAGAATTAAACTGCCCGAAGAACTGAACAAAGCAAAGATAAAAAGTAAAAGCAGAAGTGACATCTGGACTCTGCTGAAGTTAACTCCCTTGCATGGGATAAGGATTTCACAACACCCATACACACACACGTAAGAAGGGCTAACTCCACCTGCTTTGCCTACCATGCTGTTCAGCAACTTCCACTGTCTCAGTCATTGCCTTCACAGTGGAGGTATCTCCTTCCCTTTTCTCCTCGTGGCCATCGTGGTGTTCTCTCCCTTGCTTCAGAAGAGACTGCCAGACGGCCACTATATTGTTCATGTCTGGTAAAAGCTGAAAGAAAAAGAGTAAATTGCAATAGCTCTCCTGTGTGAGACAAAGCTATTATGATAAAAATATTCACAACCAACACGAATATTTGCTGCTCTTCACAAAGGTTGGAACTGATCTTGTATGCAATCAGCTAAAGGTCTGAAATCAAGTAGTGTACTTTCACTTCTGCGGAACATAAATACTGGAAAGAACACTTTATTGAAAAATTTTCCTGTAACAAATTTACATTGGTTTGTCTCCCAACAAAATTTTACTCACATTTCCATCAGCCAGCTTTGTTATGAAGTGTAGTCTACCACCGCACCACTTATTAACACCTTTAAACCCACGGCCTTCCCCTCCCACTGCTCAAAGACACTATCTTCTGGCTCTCAGGCTGCAATCACTTGGGGAGAAAGTGCAGAGGAGTAGTTAACTGCTGAAAAATGACTCAATTTTCTTTTTATTTTGTACCTTACTGATGGCTTCTCTGTACAGCTGTACAAACTCCTGCATCATGGACAGTGTGTAGATTTCTGACTTTTGCCAAGTTTCTTCATTCAAACAGTACTCAATATTCTTCAAGGCTCTTCTCAGAACCATTGACACAAGTGACAGTATGCTGTGCTTCACTGCTGTGCTGGCCAACTAAAAGAAAGAAGTTGAATTAATGATGTCACTGCTTTGTCTTATGCTTTGCATATAATCTGTACTCTTGATATGTGTTAGAATTTGTTAACTAACTAATTATTATTAATTAACCTTGGCTTGCAAGAAAGAATCTGTAGGTATTCAGATTCCCAGCCTAAAACACTAGTGAGTATTGACAGAATTGGTGCTTGTGAATGGCTCTTGGAATCAGTATCAATGGGTTTTAATTAATTTTCCAGTGCTTCCCCAAGCCAGCTACATGCTGGGACAGACAAGATAAAACACATGTAATTAACCAACTTAAGAATTAACCAACTTCTTGGATGATCACACACTTAAATCAAACAGTATTAACAAGGACAAAAAAACCCACTGAAATACTATAGACTGCTCTTACATTTAGTCCTTGGGTGAACATTGTTTTATTACATACTGCAGGGACTGTTGTTACCATCACCATAGAAAGTAACCTGGGAAGAGGAATAAACTCTGAAGTCTTAAAAGAATTGGAAATCTCTGGTTGAGCCTCATAGATCTGAAATACAAATAACAATTTAATCAACATCGATATAGCCCTGGAGATAACAGCTTCTTCTGGGAAACATTTTACAGAAGGGTTTTGACTTGTCAAAAGTAATGACAGCACTAAACATCAATTTTTATGCAGAAATGCTACAGAGCATCCCCCAGACTCCTACTCAACTAAATGGAACATCTCTATATAACCTGCACCCCTGCTAAAGGCCACGCCTTTTCAACAAACAGCCTACAGATTCTACTTGCTAAAGCAAGGAGTCAGAGGAACACTCAGGAAGGACAAAAGGTTTTTCTAGCTGAGCTTCCATGTTGCTGCATCTCAAAACACCTATCACCAACATGATGTTTTCCATTGCTTCCATTCCTTCTTTCCTGGTTTAGTTAAATGTTTATACAGCCTCCTCCTCCGAGTATGGCTTTTTACCAAATGACCTTCCAACTCACTCTATGTCTACACTTTTTAAAGCAGCTGTGGCTCGGAGCCGTGGCTCATTTTCCTCAGTACCCACAGAAAGCAGGATGCCTTTTTCCCCTCCTTCCATTTACCCTATCCGACATTTAACAGCATCCTGCCTGCTGCTTCTTTCCTAACATACCTACAGTAAATTGATGGTGTTATTTCAGAACCATTAAGCCCTTCCTGTTTAGCTCACTTAAACCTCAGCCACCTAACTTCCCCACTGCTGGACTCGTTTGTTTTTAAAATTATTATTTATGAAATATTGTGCCTGTTTGCTTTTTAGTGATTTTAATAAACTCTAAAGCAGTGTGCGTTTACAGCTGTGAGCACATCTTCAGACATGTGAGTTTCCTCTGATACAGAACAGCTGCTTCTGAAACAAAAACAAAAAAACCCACTCCCTGATCCTCACCTTAGTTCTTCTGAAATCAATGAAGTCTTGTTCCTTGTCACTAGGAAGACCTCAGCTAAGATGATTAATTCAGAGTTAAGTTTATATATAACACAGCCGCACCACAGGCTGGCTGGGCTCTGTACTGCACAGTACCCAAACTGTAACAAATTTTACAAAGGAGTGGCATTATAACATCTATCTGTAATAAAAGCAATCAAAGGCAGGCTTACTCATCTACTGCCAAGTCCCTTTGGTTGGTAACTTTTCTGTAGGTCAGGAATGTTCGACTTTACCATCTTTCCTATTACAATTTTGTGTAATTCTCCACTACTGCTTAATAAAAACAACTTCAATTTTTGGAAGGGGGAAAAAAAAAAAAAAAAAAAAAGAGTACTGGGATTGCATATTTCTATGGAGAGGTGGTGCATATCATTCACAGTCTTACCTTTCTGAGTAACTTCATATTGTCCATCCAAGCTGACTTCAGTCTAGGAACAAAGGAATACTGGGCCTCCTTAAAGTATCTATTCAATAAATCTGGGCATACTTTAAGAATGTTCACCATCAGATCAGCTACCATTTCATCTTCTGTTGCAGTTTTTAAACCAAGCAGAAAGCGCAGAAGCACCACATTTCCTCCCCTATTGAAGACAAAACAATACTGTGAAAAAGAAATCTCTATTTCAATACTTTACATGTGATGCTAACGCTGCAACTCCTCTAACTGTTGCTGGGGTAAATTCCAGGCAAGACCTCTCACACTGCTGGCATAATTTCTGAGTTTATACTCAGAAAACTAAGAACTGAATTTACCTCCCGATTTTCTGCATGACAAAGAGCAATTACTTTTAATTAAACCCACAATGTTTCAGAGATATTCTAACCAAACTTCACAAAGCTAAAAATGTAGAATTAAAATCTTACATTAAACTTGGAAGTATTTTCTGTGGTCTTTCGGTCTTCTTTTTTAAGTTTACTTGTGTATATCCCTAAACAAAGTGAGAATACTGCAGATACCAGAAGAATACCAGCTAGAATTTTGCTCAAAGCAAGAAACAACCTGGTCTAGCACCACTCAGTATCAGTACCTGTTACTACAATCTAGTACCTTCTTTGCTGAGCTAATGTGATAAAGCATAAACTATGAGAACCCCTCCATGGAATTACAAGAGTCTCAATTATTTTCTCTATCAGTTATAATCTCAGTGCACACATAGTTTAACTAGTTAGCAAATGGAAACTGTAGGGCAAATAGGTGCTTCCAGATTAGGTGTTGCAGGCCAAATTCTAGCACTACTGAAATAAATATTGATATTTTGCCAAAATCTGGGATAAACCACATCTGGTTCTACAAAATGTAAATTGGACTAGATATTTTACTACCATCTGGTTTACACTGCAGCTCTGATGCTTTACTGGCACCTCAGGGAAAAAAAAAAATCTATGCTCCAAAATCACAACTTAAAATAAAAGACTTATCTAGTTATTCAAGGAGATGGCTCAGAGAAAGACAACCATTGCCTTGCCTAAGCCTCTACAAACAGGGAGAGCACTCTCTACTCTAGTATACAGAGGTATAAGGAGATCCAATAGTTTCATCTTGGGAAGTTAAAACCAAAAACAACAAAAAGACCCAACATATTTATTTCTTCTGCCACAGAAGAAAGAGAGATGGAAGCAGAATTCAGTGAAGTTACTGGCAAAGGCCTAGAAGGGCAGACAAGGTAATTAGTGAGGTCTCTCTTGTTCCCAGCACAAAGCACACATACAATCTCAGCTCTCTGGTGACTTACTTGCCAGAAGTTCCAAGACTTGGATCATAGAAAGTTATGCCATGTTTCAGAGAGCAGCAGAGGTCCATTAAGAAATTATGAACAAGCTCCCGTACCATCATCTTTCCCACCTCTTCAGAACCTTGAGTCACCTATAAAAATCAAAAAGGAATAAAAAAAAGCATACGATTTTTGGTATCATAGAAGACAATCTTACATCAATTTCAGTCTTCCCTAAATTTTATGAAGATCCTTTTACAGAAATGCTAGAAGATAGTTTGGCTGTTGTTCAGATTAAGCAGTTTCCGTTTATGTATTAAACACATTAGATATTACACAACTTTTTGTTTCAAGGAAAGTAAACTTCCCAAATTTAGGTACGTATGTACTATGTACTGATGCAGGGCTTTTTTCTAAGAAGCCAGACAAAAAAAGATAGAGGAAAATCAAGCTAAAGAGAAGTAGTGATATAAAGCTTCCATAAATTGGGCACGGCATCCTGGGACTTTGAAGTCAAGGATCTAATATTTAATCTGAAATAATCAACTTTCAACCATACAGGCCAGGCTTACTATGAGAAAGCTCAGAAAGACCAAAAAAAAAAAAAAAAAAAAAAATCACTGAAGACTTCAGCATAAAGCATGTGAAACAAGCATGCGTACATTTTTTGGGCCAATTTGGCAGAAGCTGGAACAAATTTAATACAGGGCAAGAAAGATGGATAGCTAACAACACATTGAATATGCCAATACTTCAGGGAAAGGTGGGGCATCAATGCCATTACAGTTACTATACAAAAATGGAAGAAGTGATCAAATATCCATGTCAAACAGAAAAAAAAGTTAACCCAGATTCCATTAACCTTTTACATGCAGCACAACTCAAGATCCCTATGCACGAGAAGTCTCTTGACAATTGCAGTTGGGAAATCACAAACCATATGACTCACAAGCACTGCACAGAACTGTAAGAATTCAAAATTACTCAGACCTGAAATGCATGTTTATGAATAGGGTCATAGATTTGCATAGCTCCAAGCAGACATCTACAAGAAACAGATCTCTTCCAAAAGGTATTTACAGTATTTCAGGATTGGAATGGCAGAGGCATAAACATCCAGTAGAGGAAATATAAGAAGGTAGTTGTTCGGTGTTAGAAGTTCTGAAGAATTATGGTTGGGCTTCTAAAGATCAAGCGTTAATCAACACAAAGGTGAAAAGTCTGCAGCCCAAACCCAGTGGAAGCATAGAAGTCTTTCTACTGCTTTGCACTGGGCTTACAGCCATGCCTTAGATATTCCCTCAGTGAGAGAGGGGAAAAAAAGAGATTACATGATTAAGAAAAATAAAAAAGCAGAAGTTGAACCTATTTATGAGGAGAAGACGATAAAACATCTGCAGTGTTAACACACACCCACCAGTGGAGGCCCTGATCCTTGTCTCATCTGACTTCAGGAATGTGATTTCATGGACCAGTAGAATCAGTACAGCTCAGCCCTCAGAAACCCTGCCAACCACTCAAACAACACAAGCTGAAAAGGCTGGTGACCATCTTGGGAGTTTAGTTCTCAGATCAGATCAGGATGTAGGATGGGAATGAGGCATGTGGTAAGGACAGGGACTAGGACTTATAAAGAAATGTTATCAGACCTTTAGATCCCCAGGGCTGACATCAGTAATCCCATTCCACCGGTAAAGTGAAGCAATGTGAATCAACACTTCTGCAGTAAAAAAGCGCACCTTCTGGGTTTTGGTGATATTTTTATTTTGAACCACCTGAAAACAATGAGAAAAAAAACCCCAAACAAACAGACAACTCTTGTATTTATTGCAAGTTATCACAAAATAATGGCAAATTAGCAACACACTTCATTCTTCTAGTACACACACAGCTCACACTCCTCACTACAGCAGACAAAAGGTTCTGCCTGTCCTGTTAACACTTTCACATGCTCCCACTCCCATCTTGATACGGTTTAAGCCATAGGACTCCACACCAACTTCTGCAAACACTGCACATGCTGAACAGGACAGACGTTCAAGTTCAACTAAAGAGCAGAGAGTGTATTTAGAGTATCACAGCAACAGACTAGGATCATGGAAACCTGCTGGTAGAGATGGCAGAACCTGCTACAAATAAAGTTTGAATGAAAGGGAAAACACAGTGGAAAAAGTTCTCTAAAGTTCTCCTACTGTTTTCTCTGGTCCTCATTTTTTTTAGAGCAATAGGAAAATGGAAGAATTTTTTTGGCTTTAAATTGTCAGTTGTGAAAAGCCTGGGTCTGAGGCAGGCTCTTATGATTACACTCTAAATCTGATATTGTTTTTTCTTCATTCTCTCATTTGATCATAAAACAACTTGTGCAACATTGCTACAGTAATTCAAAACCGAGATTCAAAAATCATAGATACTGGAACTAAAAATATTTTTTTAAACATTTTTACAGAAATAAAATACATCTCTGCTGCAGTTACTGTACCCACAGCAGCAATAAGCTGGTGCATCACAGTGAAAGAGGCACTGCTGTGCTCAGAAGCTAAGGGACAACAGAGCACAGGAAAAGCAGTCGAGACTAAATCAACTCTCACACCTCTCAGCAACTCCTGATTTCAAGCTTTTTCTCTCAATCCTGTTATATCACAAGGTTCCTTCTGTCTGCTATGAAAGAATCAGAGGAAACAACTTCAAAGTGGAGCCGACTTACCTTTCCACCAGTACTTTCTGACAGCACCCTGTCAGAAACTAAAAGTATGCACAGTAGGAAACTAAAGTATGCACAGTATACACCCTTTTTTTCACAAAAACTTCACTGATTTTGGGAAGATAATTTTATGATAAGATTTCCCTTTGCCTCTACCCCACCAAAAATATCTTTGATCGAATTTATCTCCTGCAGCAGAAACTCTGCCATCCTAACAGTAAGCAAGTCCAAAGATCAGCTAAACAGGACCACAGGATGTGGCCTCAATGGAGCCCTGCCAAGACTGATAGGGGAATGGTACCACACACCCTTCAACTGCAACCAGACAGCTCCTAGAAACCCATTTTATGTCACAGTCCACATATTAAAACCACACAAAATCCTTTTTCTCCCGGAAAGAAGATTGTACATCATTACCTAGATCAGACCTAACAAACCTAGTCAAATCTAGCTGACCTCTCCATCTCAGCAAGAGGCACGTTAATTGAAGGACCAATCTTACTGTCACTGGAAGCACCAAAACCACTCCGGTTCTTTTGACCTTCAGGCTTGGCACTGATGCAATCGCAACCCGTGAAACAATCAGAATCTGTTGGACACCACACGCTAAAGGTGAGCTGAAATTAGCATCCAAGTATAATCTACACAATGACTTCCTTTAAAAGAGGGCATTGCAAAAGTATAAGCTTCAGTCCTGAAACAGTAATACAGCCAAGCTATCAACCTCTGACAAATATTATCAGTAATGGACACACTGACAAACTTTCAGCAGCAGCAGCACAATGCCAACATCTTAAAGAGCTGTACATTTTAGAAGAAACTACTGCAAAAGTGTTTCCAGCAGCAAAGAAAATAGAAAACAAGAGACAACGCAGTTTCAAAGGTATATCATACCTTACTTCTCAGTGTGGAAAGCAGAAGATTGACAGTAGAAACTTTGTCTTCCTTTATTTCAGAACGAAGAATATCTGGAATGAAATCTAAGACGACATTTCAAATGTTAAGGAAAAATGTGAAAGCTATTTTCATACTAAGATGCTTCAGGGAATTCATACCCGTTTCTCTTCAATGTCATACTATTTACCTTGCTGTTATATTTAAAGATGAATCAAAAGGCTGCAATCAGAGTTCAGAAGGATGATGTGTCTGTAACTGCAGTGATGAACAAGTGATGCTGCCAAACCTACGCTCATCCTAACTAGCTAATTTGCCAACTTGGTTATTAACACTTATTGCAACAGCATCTGTCACCTTCAAATGTATTTTGGGCCCCAATGTGCTACGCAGCATTTAAACTCGAGTAAATGCCTACCCTTTCTGCTAAAGAACTCACAATTGTTTCACTGAGTGATTATCAAACATTTAAAGGTTACACCTCCAACAACACGCATCATCATCATTTGGTTCACCAGTGCATCCCAAAGTTAGAGAACATCAGTTTATCTTACAGGGGACTGAAAGCCAGCTATACTGACTGGGTCTAGGTGTGCACTGTCATTCCCTGCCCTGAAAGAATTGAACAACTGGAAGCAATTAAAGGAAGTCAGCAGCCCTCAGGGTAGTGTGAACAACAGAAGTAAATAATTACAGCCTGTCCTCACTCCCTCACTGTAAAAGAAATTAATTGCTGCCAGCTAATGACTTTTTTTTAAAGAAGTATTTCTAGATCCTTTCTGAATTCTTCCATAACCTTACTACTCACAACTTGAGAAACATCAGCAGTAGCTTTCAAACCACCAAAGTCAACACAAGTTTTACATTATCTTCAGCACATAAGGAATCATCAAGTATTAATCAAGTGTACGTAAGATTCAACCTTCTGGATCCTCTTGTCAGTTCAGCTTGACTCCCTTCTCTAAGAGACATGGGTGTAACATACTCCTGGACTGCACTCCCATGTAATGCCTCCATAAAGGATGCAAAGGACATTACACTGGTCTCCTGAATCATTGACAAAAAGTGGTCTAATGGAGTACAGGACAGTTGTCCTACCTGAGGGCTGAAGGGAAACTAAAGTATGCACAGTCCTTAACACTATTTAGAATTTTTTAATGCAACATATCCACTATTGCTGTGTTATGAGCAAGGCTGGAGGCTATGAAGTTTTCTTCTGATTATTGACTCTGTGACCTCAAAATTACATTACACTTACCTTTTTACATTTCTGTCACCAAGGGCCTTCTATTTTTGCAAAGTTTTTGCAAATAGCAAACATTATTCTCAAGAGTCATTCACTAAAATACTGATGCTTTGCAGGTAATAAGATTAAAAATATGTATTTTGTATCTTACTAGTACTGTTTAACTGGTTCACATTTTGAATTAGCTCATATTTATTGTTGTCTATAAAAGACTCTGCCTTAAAAAAATAAAAATACAAGCAACTGTGAAGTACCTTTTAATTCCAGCACCTGTGTCAAGATTGTGTTATCACCAGCAATTAAAAAGGAGAGAGCAAACTGAATATAGGCCATACGGACATCAGTTCCCCCCTAAAAAAAAAAAAAAAAAAAAAAAAAGGCACTGTTAACATACAGACTGTACACAACTGCAAAATTAATACTGCAACAATTGATTATCATTATAACTACTATAAACAGCTAAATTAAACAACTTCTATAAACACGATGCACAGAGCCATACACATACACTTATATGCAGTACATCCACAGTATACTTGATGATCTTAAAGGTCTTTTCCAACCAAAACAATACTATGATTCTATTTGAAAAACTTCTTGTGTTAAGCAGGTGACAGTCTGTTAAAGTTAACATCAAAAAGGACGTATTCGTGTATTTTTCAATTCTCAATATATGAGATAGGCCACAAAGTTAAAAAAAAACACAAAATGTTAACCGTAGTTTCATGCCAATCGCTGTATACACTGAACATCCTCACTTCTGCACCGCTTGGTATCCTGGTCAATTCACAAAAACATTCAAGAACGGTAATGACAGTAGAGCTGCTGCAATTTCTCACTATACAGGCTTCCAGAGCAGTGCCAGTCTTGGCAATTCCAGCTGCTTATTGCCGTCTTTGAGCTGCAGTGCATTACACACATCCCTCAGCTATCACAGCTGCTCATGGAGCTACCCAGGTCATGCAACTGAGACCAGCTAGGAAAAAAGCTCTTTGAAAAGGGGCTAATATGTTATGAAACTACAAACTCAGGCACAGCGGAAGTCATGAAAGCTTTGCCTGGAAAAGGATCATAGGATATGAAAATGATTTATCATTTTTTGAAACTCACTGTGCAAAAGTAAGTTGCACGTAAAATTGCCTGAAAGAAGATACTGACTAGGCAGAAGTGACTCATGAAAGGGTTGAAAGAAATAAAGAGAAAGAAATGAGATTTTGCTGTAAGCTTTGGGACTGGTATTTTTGTATTAAAAATTGACCTCCGATAGCCAGTTGTGACATAATCATTTCACTGAAAGCTGAGCAAGAGTAAGATCTTCAATCCATTTTTGGAAACTTCTTTTCCTTGTACCTTACTTGCACATCTAATAAGCTCGTGGTCAAAAGACTACAGCCAAACATTTAAATTTAAAGGGTGGAGGTACTCCTAAAGGACAACTTCTGCAGTAAGGTCAAAAAACCATGAAATCTGATATTCCCAAAACTGTTTATATATAAAGCAATCAAGCAGAAGGCAAAAACCCAAACACACACCTTTCTCCATGGAACCACTTTTTACAGTCTCATTTGTCACCACAGATGGCACAAATCCAACACAAATGTACACATTTGTTCTGCAAGTCATCTTTAAAAACTAGAAACAATGCATCAGCACTGAAAATAATACTGGATTTATTATACACTTATATGTGGAATTAAATGTAAATATTCTTATTCTAAAACACTGGTTCAGGTCAACCTTGATTATTTTTAGCAAATAGAGAGGAAACAAGAAATAAAGTTGCTTTTGGAAAAAGGGGAGTGACTTTTTCTACTCACTCACATATCCTCTTTAAGGATTTCCCCCAAGAGACTGTTTAAAACTCCGGGCTATATTTTCAAATGCAATTGCTCTGACTGTACTAGTACTGGGCAAAATCCTCTCTCCATTTCAACAACTGCAGAACCTCCACTTACTTCAGTGGGACGAAACTGCAATCCACACATTGGAAAAAAAGACTGAGGTCTTCCCAAACACATCACTGAACAGCTTTCAGAAGTTTACCATCACTTTCGCTCCATTTTAGACATTAAAAGGGTAGCACACAAAAACTATACATTTATATTTCAGCACAGCTTATTAGAAACAGACAAGGCACTTGGATGTTTTGCAGCAAATTCTGCAAAGCAGTGTGAAAAAAAAAAGGTTATCCTGAGGAGCTCTGCACCCTGACAAGACAAGAAAGGCCAGCACGGGATGGAAAACAAAGTAAGCTATACCTCAAGGGTGCAGGCCAGCTCTCCCACTATCACAGATGCTCAGAAACATCCCCGGGGGATTTTCTAAGTAGATGGGAAGCTCTTGCCCCATAGATCAGTTCTGCTGCTAATTAGAAACAATCAAGAAGCATTTCAGCGTGACACAGAACAGGAAGGAAGAGGTAAGTTCTTGCAGATGAAAATACAGCAAAGAGACTTTGACAACAGCTTAGTTTTAAATACTTGGCAGAAGAAAACTGATGGAGCTGTGGCGTAGTATTTCATGGCACACAGCAGCTTAATTTACCTTCTTACATCTTTTTTTCAATAATCCAGGCAAAAACTTGTTATTGAAATCAAAATGGCTGTACACATCCCTTGCTGAATCTGGCCCCTGAGCCACCATTGCTGACAACAGGGTAAGGCACACTCGGCTCATCCTAAAATGAAAGGCAGAGGAAAACCTGCAGGTTATTTCCAGGGTGGCAGTTATACAAACAACCAAATCAAGAAATTAAAATTTAAAAACAGACCTTTTTCCTGCAAAAGAAATAATCCCACTCCACCTCCAACATCCACCCAAGCCTTCAGGAGTTTCAGGCATGAAATAGTTCTGAGTCAGTCCCAACACAAGCAATCAAGATGATAGCCATTACAAAAGTATCCCTGGTCACGCAAACCTCTCGCTGCAGTTGATGGCATCTTTAGTTGAATAGGTAATCAACCATTTTAATGACCATCACAATCCAGATTTAGGCCAAACACATGTTGTTCCACTACTCAAAGAACTTCAATCTTCTTTCTGAACAACCTACTTCCGCAAGCATATTTCTTGGACAGAGCCCCCAGTTCTGCAAATGCTTATGTGCTTTACTGCCACAAGCAGGTATGTGGGAGCTACAGCTGATGCTAAAGTTAAGGATACACACAGCCTAGGCCAAACTAAGACTGCATTTTTTATGTTTTGGCCGAATGACAGAGGTTTTCTTCAGCTTAAGTATGCAGCATGGTCTTGTCATGAACTAAATCCCAAGACCTACACTCAGTTTTGATTCTTGCTTACCGACTGCTGGGAAAATATGCCTAAGAAAACAGGAGAGAAGTTAAAACAACCAAAAGCATTGTTTTCAGCAGTGATAACAGCAACTGGGAAGGAGGGGAGACGGAAGAAAGGAAAAGGGCGTGTCTATTTATATTCTTCCCAAAAATTAAGCTGTAATGAGAGGCTGGATATTCACTTTATAAAGTGGGATAAAAGGAAGAAAGTGCCAAAAACTAAGAACTCCTAAATTCATGGGAGTTTGCCATTTATTTAAATGGGAACATGACAGGGCCATGGGCCACTTGTAGTCTGCAGACCTCCATCATCTGAATAGCCACTACTCATTAAGGGACTTGGAATCTCTCCATTGTGTTTCATTCATGAACAACCTGTAAGAAAGCCATATGATTAAAGCAGAGATCCCATGTAGACATACCACCACAATAAAATCCCTTTGTACATCGAAGAGGTAGCACAGAAAAAGCAGAGTATATACCATCAAAATACCATCAGAAATCTGCAGGCTCCTCTGTGCAGGTTCTAGAAGGATTTCTCCAAAAGATGTAATCTTTAAATGCTTAATAAGAAGTGCAGATCTTGCATAGTTTCAAAATTTATTTTACAATATACCTATCCACTCATATTTGGGATTCTATATATGTACAGTTAATGTGCTTATTGCAATGAAATCAACTGAGTGGTGCAGGAAGCATGATTGTGTCCATGAATCAGAAAGCAGAAAATGCTTTTCTAATTCTGGCTGTCCAAAGACTTAAAGACAGGTCATTGGCCTTGGACAAGTTATTTGCAGACTCTGGGGTTTTTTTTTTCTCCCTTCTTCTTCCTCTCAGGTGTGCATTACAATTCTCTGGCACTTGGAACTTCTCTCACCCTGTCCACAGAGCACAAGAAATTCTTGTGTAGACTGGACTAGATAACACATGAGTGCTTAAATCGGCCCACAATGGCCTTAGATTTAAGAGACAGGAAAAGTTACAGAGTAAAAGCCAGTCTGAAAGAAAAAATCTATTATAACCATGGAAATCTGACTACAAAAAATACAGGGAAATAAAACACTCAAGAGCAGCTCTTTTTGCCATCACAAGGTAAGACTGCTCAGGCTCTGTGAACTACAAGAAAGCCTGCTCCTACCTGTTCCATGCAGTATATTTCACTTCACAAACCAAGTAGCATTAAAACAATAGGACTCAAGATACTATCCACTCTACCCCTCACTAGGACAGGCACAACCGATGAAAACTACAGACTCAGGAAAGTATCATGTAGCATCAGATTGTGTATTATATCAGAGCTTCCACCTTGCAAAGAATTCCACATGCAATTATTTTATGAAATGTGGAACGGTATCATTAAATAAAGGTGAATTATCAGCAATAAGTAAGTCAAGCTGAATTCTGCAATGTCTTGTTCACATGTGCAAGACCCAGACAGCCCCTCGCGACTGATTCAGAGCAACTGACAGACATGCTCTGCAACAGTACAGAGAAGACCTACCTGTAATTTTCAGAATACAAAGCAGCATAGACCAATCTCATGTAGGAATGAATCAACTTTTTGACTATGTTCATTCCCACAACAGAAAAATGGGAGAGGTCACTGGCTGTCCTCAGTAAAATGGCTTCTAGAGCTTGAAAGATTAATAGCATCTGTAAGATAGAGAAATATGTTAACATCTGCCAATATCAGGTACAGCTTGAAATTATTAGCTGAGCAAAGAGTAACAAACACCATTAAAAAAAAGAGTAACCCTATCACAAGAGGAAAGCTTCCACATATGGAGTTGAAGTTAACTTCTGAATTCTCTTCCAAATTAATGCTTCCTCTTCTAAAGGATTAGTTCTGAGAGTACGAATTTTCAAGGAAGCCTCTATACAGATACTATATGAAAGACTAGAGAACCACAGGAGTTCAGCCGACTCCTCTTTTCTTTCAGCTGCTAAACTCGTGAAATTCAGTAGTAGGGAGGGACCTCCACTGGAAGTCCAAGCCAACGTGCTGACTGAAGGCCTGTACAATCCTGGACAAATAAACGGAATGTAAAAAAAAGAGTCCCCCCTCACACATGAATTGAGACCTACATGCAGGATTTATCTGCGTATGCACAACAGCCACTTCTGGGGATGCTAACACCAACTGCAGTGCCAATCTCAGCACAGACTGATGGATCTTGAAGGCCCTTTTCCAGCTGGAGGCGAAGGCCTTGGGCTAATGAACCAACGCTTTGAGAGACAACTGCTAGTAAGTGCTCAATGAAACATGCTGGAGAAAACCATCTGAGCTGCTCCAGTCTTGCAATTAACTCCTTCTAGATAAACCACAGTCCACACAGCACTGGGACTGTACTCATTAAAAGTATTAGCCTTGATTAGTAAAAAGATCTTGAAGAAAGCATGCCACTGAACATGATACAGGTCATCACTACACAGACAAATATGACAATCTAAGGCAAAGACCAACAAGTGGCGGTTAAAAAGAACACTATCCAATTTTACGTTGTAAGCAGATTTAAGTCAATAATGCTGCCCCAGTATTGACAGTGAAAGGAGTTTTTTAATTGGTTAGTTCATTCATCATATTCTGATGGGAAAAAATTGTGTCCAGCTCAGATGAGAAAAATTACATCTTAACAGCGGCTTCCCAGAAAGGGAGATGTCTAGTTATGTTAAAACAGTTACTTTCACTAGACTTTTTGTTTGTTTGTTTGCTTAACTGCTTCTGTTGACCCCCTTACTTCATAAATGGTCCTTGGTAACATTTAAAGAACCTTTACAGCTTGATTTTGGCAGTACTGGTTGTGCATATCATTAAATCCAGGAACATCTTTGCACTGAAAGGCCATTTCCCACTTGATCAGTGCTTCTGCCCCCGTAACTTCCACGAAAAAGACCCAAACAAAAAACTAAAACAAACAAACAAAAAAAAAAACCCACCCAAAAAACCCACCAACAAAACCCATCCCAAATTATCAGTTACTTATGATGCAAAGCATTTCTTCAGCAGTTCTTCTCCCAGTCAGGCCACACGCTGCCAGTCATTAAACTATAACACCTACAGCCAACTTACTTCACTTTCAGGCTTCCTTTCTCCATCCAAAAGTTTGAATATTTCAGCACACTCCATGGAAATTTTTACATATCCCTCCACCACATCATATATTTCAGGCGATGGCAGCGTCTTAGAAACGGAGACGAAGGTCTCTAGACCTGCAATACGAGAGTTTCACCCGGGGAGCCA